GATTTTTTTCCTATTATTTTCGTACAAAAAAATCTCTCGAATTTTTTTTTATGCGCCTTACACGGCGCGTAGGAAAAAAAAATAACTGTTTATCTTCTATCGTACATTTCCTCCCGATATCATTAATCCGGTAGAAAATTCGCCGATATCGACTTAACGATTCTCAATAAATTGAACCAACGATACATATGTATACAGATGTTTTTTTATTTTTTTTATTTATTCCTTTCTTTTTTATTCTTTACTTCGCACTTTGGTTACAATTTAATTTTGGTTTAACCTTTTTTTCTTTTTTACTGGCGTAGATCACGAGAAGGAAGGATATGATAAATTGTGGCCGATGAGGAAAAGAGCACGAGAACGAGTACGAGCAGGAGCACGAGCAAGAGCAAGCGGCTTCGTCGAGGAAGGCGAGAAGAAGCGACGACGAGGCGGCACCAGCAATACCAATAAAAAGATCAACACTAGATCTGATGTTAGCGGACATTAACGGTAACTTGGCGGATCTGAGAAGCGAAGCGATGGCGTCGCAGAGGTTTTGTCTGCGTTGGAATAATCATCAAAGTAATCTACTCTCCGTTTTCGACCAACTACTCCATGACGAGTCGTTCGTCGACGTTACACTGGCCGTCGAGGGTCAGCTACTCAGGGCACATAAGATGGTGCTGTCGGCGTGTAGCCCTTACTTTCAGGTAAGGACACCTACTCTCCACCATCAGCCCAACAAATCCATCCTCTGCATTAACCCTTTGCACTCCAGCCCTGTTTCACAAGATTACCATAAAATAATTACTCATAAGATTATAACTCGTAAGATCATTCTTAAAGAGCTTAGGAACATATTTAGGATATTCTAAAAAATCAAACATAAATAAATATTGTCGCCTTTCAAGCCATTCACGTAACAATTCCAGTAGAGGCATTGCTGGAGAACAAAGAGTTAATATTATTATAATAATACTATATTATACTATAATATATAATTATTATAATATATTATAATAATATTCGTATCAATCCAAATGGTTTTCTGGAGAGCAAAGGGTTAATATTATTATAATAATACTATATATAATATACTATAATATATAATTATTATAATATATTATAATAATATTCAATCCAATAATTGGAGGGCAAAAGGTTAATATTATTATAATAATACTATATATAATATATATAATAGTATATGTACAATATATTATAATAATATTTGTATCAATTCAAATGGTGCCAGAGAGTCACCATTGGAAAGCAAAGGTTAATACTATTACAATATATATATTATAATAATACTACATATAATATTATATATATAATACACTATAATATATAATTACTAT